ATCCAAGATATGGACCAAATACAAACAGCATGGAATGGTTGTTAAAGCCAAGCATACTGGTAGACCAAGTGCAAAAGTTCAGTCTTACACGTTTATAACCAGGTTATAAGAAATATTTTTTAGCAAGGGATCTCTTTTATTTTCGGTAAAATATTACTCCAGTGCAAAATGAATAGATACAAAAAATGACTCTCAGTCAGTGAATTTTGATTTGATCCATAAATAMATGTGATTGTTTATTTTACAAATCATACAAAATCACTAAAGTACACTTAATTGTGAGCAATTAATTTCCTATAAAAGTTTTGAGACCAACAATAACAAAGCTTTGAGCTTCTTAATTGTTAACCACAGGCACTTTAAATAGACACAAATGTCAAATTTTGATGTTTATTACCAGACATTTGAGGCACGTAACTTGGTTGGCAAGGAAGATTTTAAGGAAAGGAGGAAAGTAAGATGTTAGCATTTCCTACTTTAACTTAAATAAATGTGGGTTTAACCAGAGAAAGGCAAGGCGTTCTACTCAGCGTTCAGCCAGACAGCGAAGTTCACAACACATGCCAGCTTTGCCTTAAAGATAGTAAATTTTAGCAAGCAAGTTTTAGCAGGTCACCTTGTCCAGGTATTTCGGGTTGCTGCTTAGAAAATCCATTTTAGGACCGTCAACACAGGGGAACCCCAAGGCGTGTTTTTTTGACTCGCTTGCGTCCACGTCAAGCCGTAGGAAAGAAGGCGAAGCCAAACCTGGATCCCGACTTCAGAATAAAACTTCCGGCAGGAAGGTTTAACAAGTGGATCGGCCAGGCGTTGGTCGGATCCGGCTGTGTGGTTTTCCCCGTTGGCGAGAAGGGGCAAAACCGTCAGCTTCAGCTCCTGATTCCCTCGAGAATCGAGCTGGAGGAGCCTGTCCTCTTCACAGACGAGCGGTCTGTCCCTTTTTGCCGTCTGGGCGGAAACTGTTAGTTTCTAAAGAGCTCAGAGAATCTAAGTCCTGGAACTGGAAGGTCGCTGGTTCGATCCCCATCCAGTTGTCTCAGTCATTGTGTCCTTGGGCAAGACACTTCACCCACCTTGCCTACTGATGGTGGTCAGAGGGTCCGGTGGCGCCGGTGCATGGCA